CCAGCTCACAGAGCCTCGAAGACCTGACCTGCTGCAGTGGGCTGGGGAAGGGCTGAGGGGTGTCAGGTCTAGACAGCCACCAGAATGCTGGGCAAGAGCTCCTGGATGGCTGCAGGGAGCCACATATGGAAAACATCAGAAAATGGGCAGATTTACAGTATTGAAATAAGCTTAAAAGCTTTTTATGCGAGCTAAAAATTGCATCGTTAACCAGCACCTGCAGCAGCAGGGAAGCAGCCGCTCTGGTTCAGCTCTGTGCCCCAAACACACAAGAAAGCTCACCCTGGTTGTTGCCTTCTCCTGAGCCATCACTGCAGGGTTTGTCTCTGCAGCAGAGCTCTCCCGTTTGGGGTGACAGGAGTGCCAGCAGCACAGCCCCTTCTCAGCACTGCTCTGCCCCTTCTCAGCACTGCTCTGCCCCTTCTCAGCACTGCTCTGCCCCCTCCAGACACGGGGACGGAGAGAAACCACCCTGCCAGACCTTCCCATCACTCCCTGGTGCAGTGGATTTCCTCCAGCGAGTCTCAAAGTCCTTTACCATCACACCTTAGAGCTTTTAGTTATTTCTCCTGCCCCGTATCCACCCTGAACTGATCCCATTTCAGAGGTCAGAGAGACACATGAAAACGCTTCCCAAGCCAACATCTCCAGCCATTCCTTCTCAGCTGAGCAAATCCTGATGCCAGGATGCAGGCTGCCACCTTTTGGCAGAATCGAAGCGATTTCACATCATTAATTTCTATTAATTAAATGAAGCAATAAAGTATCTTCAGCATTATACCCAATTACACAGACTTGGTTATCTAAGTATATATATGACTTTTGGATGCAGCCTTAGTTTTTTGGTCTGGATTTAATGCCACCAAAAACTTATTGCTAAATCTGCTTTATGGCAAATCTAACCTCTATTAAGTTTGGGGTTTTTTTGTTTGGTTTTTTTTTTTTTTTTTTTTTTTTGGGGGGGGTTTGTTTGTTTGTTTGTTTGTTTTGGGTTTTTTGTTTGTGTTGTTGTTGTTGTTGTTGTTGTTTTGGTTTTTTTTGTTCCTCTAAACCTCAGTCCCAGTAACAGGGCCCAGACACAGCAGTGATCGTGGAGGTGAGGAGCTGTGAAGGGCCCCTGGGCTGGATGCCAGCAGTGCCAACCTCAAATCTCACCAGAAAAAAAGGTGCAAAAAAAATCCATCTACGGGTGATTCCAAGCAGCTAAAAAGCTAAAATTTCAGAGAGCAGGTCCCTTGCAGGGCACTGCTGCACCTCACAAGCTGCAGGATGAAGGATGATGCATTTACCGAGCAGGTTGTGCCCCTCAAATGTTGTACCGTGGACGTGCACACAGCTGATTGAAAAGCAGATCCTCCCAACAAACAGCTTCTGCCCTTCCCACCCACAGGAGCTCAGGACAGCATCATGAAAATTGGGAAGGAGCTGCTGCCAGCCTCCCTCCATCACAGCTGCCGGCCCTGGGGCTACAGGGATGCTGTCAGAGGTGGTACCTGCCTCAGCACCCCCCGGGCTTTGCTGCTCCCCAAAAAGCAGCCTCAGAAAGAAATTTTCATGCAACATGAACATTTTTTGTGTGAGCTGTTCCCAGGCTCTGAACAACTCATGGCTGGCCTTGGAAAACCCTTCCATGTGCTGGGCCAAAGCCCTGGGGCTCGTGACATCCCAGTGGGTGACAGCACCCAGCCCATGCTCCAGCTGGTCCCCTCTCCAGCAGTTCTGTGTTTGTGGGATATGCAGTGCCTGTAACAGCTTCAGAGTGCTCGAATAAGAGCAGGATTAAGCCCAATGCGCTGAGGCAGCCCAGCGTGCCCAGCCTCTGTGCCCACCTGGGTGCAGGGCCGTGTGTCCCCACTGAGCTCCAGCTCCCCAACCTGCTCCTGGACACACCAGGACCCTGCCTCACTCTTTGGTGCAATTTTGCACCATGTCAGAGGTCTTCACCTCCTCCTGCCAAGCACCTGTGGCCATGCCATGCCCAGCTGCTCTGCTGGGTGCTGCTGGCAGTCAACCATATGTTGCCCATCCCAGGAACCTGTGCCCAAACAGCTCCTGGCCCTGCCACGTTGGCCCAGTGACTGCATTTCATGTGGCCATCGCAGCAAGAGCTCTTGTCCCCACACGAGACACCCGAGTGACACCTCCCCTTCTCACCCTACCCCTCCAAAACCCTCCCAAAACCTTACCTTGGCCTTGTGCTGCCTCTCCCAGGTCCCTGTGGGAGCAGGGGCATGGGAAGGGCATCCTGGTGGAAATGGGAGGATGCAGCCCCTCCGTGCCCTGCTCAGCTCTTTATCCTCTGAACTTTGCTTCCTCCTCAATGGATGCTCAAGGTCAAGGTAGAAAATGGAAGCCCCTCCAGTTGGTGATCCCTGGGGGACACGTGGAGCTGATGGGACCCGGTGGCTGGGGCAGTGCTCGAGGCAGCACCTGGGGAAGGTGGGTCTGGGTTCCCCACCACCCTCTGCCAGTTCCAGCCCAGTGGCTTCTCTCTCTTTCTGCTCTTCCCTCGCTGCTTCCTGCACCGTGGGTCTCGCTGATCTTCCTTCCTGTCACCACAGGGCTGACAAA